CTAAATGTAGGTTTTTGAATTTTAAGCTTATATTTGATCATAATGTCTTACAGTTGGCTAACCATTTGGTAAAAACATACCAAACCTCTAATTAATTCTACTCAGATTGATATATACAAGAAGAAAATGTACATAAATATTATATTAATGTACAATAGAGAGATATATTATTAATCTGGTATCAAAAACAGCAACCATAAAGGAAATGTGATTGATGGTATCACATTTAAAGCCAAAATTATACAAAAAGAAATAAAAAACTAGAAGGGTAAATTATAAATTGAGAAAACATATCTATGTGACAAAATATCACGGAGTTATATATAAAATATGCCCATAAGTGGAATTAAAATTAAAAATTATAATCATGAAATTCAAATACATAAATTTAAAACATTTAAAGTTTTTTAGTTATAATTGATATGTGAATTTAATGATGTATATGTTAAATATTGAAATGGAAAACATTAAGAGATCATTTTTAATGTAAACTATCCGGGATGCAATTGGTGGTATTACATACCAACAAGTCTTATAAATGTGTACATAATTCTACAGGAATTTTATTGCTAGAAAGTTATAAGGAAATAATCTGACAAATGTGTAAAATCTTTAGTTATAATCATGATTGCTTTGTTTTTAAAAAAAATTAAATCCCCTAATTGGGAATATTGGTTTTTTTGTTTTGTTTTGATATTGTACCAGGGATTAAACTCAGCGTCTCTTAACCACTGAGCCATATCCGCAACCTTTTTTTTTTGGTTGTTGTTGTTGTTTTATTTAAAGACAAGGTCTTACTGAGTTGCTGAGTCTGGCTTTGAACTTATGATCTTCCTGCCTCAGCCTCCTGAGCTGCTGGGATTATAGGTGTGCACCACCTCACCAGTGGAATGCCAAGAAAGTTTGTTATGGAAGATGTTTTTTAGGAATCAATATATGTGATCCCCAAAGAAAGGGGATGGAAATGGAGTTGGCAGAAGTCAAAATGCAATGCAAACAGGACAAAGCCTTAGCCAACCACATGGGGAAATTTATAGTATCCACATGAGGCTGAGATGGCTGGGCCTCTGTACCTCTACTTTGCTTAGTTACAAGGTTCAGGCTGCCCTGTGAAAGGTGTGAGGGTAGGCTAAGTGGTTCTGTGTATCTAAGGCTGACCCTGAAGGGTAGATATTTATTGCTTCTCTACTAACCACACTTTCCTGCTCTTCCTTGAAAGGAAGTCTGGGTACTTAATCCCCCACAGAGCCCCAATGTTATCTCCTTTCTGTATATTACCTTTGTCGTTTTGACCATTTCTGTCAGAAGTTAAGAAAAGCTGGGTAAGAGAATGGAGAAGGACAATGGAAAGAGGGTGACTATTTTATTGGAAGGCCTTTGGGGGATGGGTATATTTGAGTAGAGACCAAATGATAAGAAATTAACCATGGAAAGAAAAAATATTCCAGTCATGAGCACAGCAAGTGTCAGAGTCTGTGTGGTTGTGGCAGAGATAAGAATTTAAATGTGTTAAAACATCAAAAGTGAACAAAAGTGCTTAGAATTTTATTCTGAAAGATGTTTCAGAGCAGTTTGGGGATGTATTTGCAACCACCTCTTTTCATATAATACAATGGAGTAGATAAAGCTAAATTATTCATACTTGGTTGATTTTTTTTTTCCTTTTAACAGTGGCTTTTTAAAAAGTAGGGTTATATTGCTATGTAAGAATAGTATTCAAATGAATGCAAATTTGTGTCTCTGATGAAAATCTTCTGTAGGTAAATTTGTAGAATTATCACTTAGGCTCTTTATGTTACTTATTAGTTTGATGTTACTGTTTCTAATGCCTTTTGTCTTTGGCATAAATTAAATAATGTGTGCCTAAAATTTAAAAAGTTGAAAATGGTAGATTCATCAGTATTTCCATGGTGGCTAGAATTATCCAGCTGGCTAATAAGCCCACAAGACAGCTGAATCATGAACAAACCCATTTAATTTCCACTAATCATTGCTCATACATTTGGAGACCCTCACTGTTCAGTTTTAAAGGGAAAGCGTGTAAATACTTTTTAAAAAATCAGAACAGACACTTTTATTACCTCATGAACTCTTTAGAACACCTTCCTACACCCCTAGGAGAATTGAATCATCTGTAGGGAAGCTTTACTGTGTATTCTAATACCTTCTTGTTCATCTTTGAAGTCTCGGCTTACTCTAAGTCACACTCATCCTGCCCAAGTCTAGGTTAGATAACTTTGCTGTATGCTCTTCTAAATCAACCTGTACTAATCCTATGAGAGCACATGTGCCATCTCATTGTAACTACATATTTGTCTTTTTATCTCACTATACCAGAATATACTTGGAGGAAAGATTGTATCTTCTCCATTTTATTTTCTCCCCATAATATAAGCAAATGACCATTATTGATGCTTAAAAAACAATTCATGTGATTCCAGAAAAAAAGTTGTGGTAAATTAAATATTATAGCTAGTGGGGGAACTAGGCAACAGCCTCTGTTTGGCTCAAATAACAAAAAAGTAAGGATACATTAGATGCTTTTTAGAAGTTAAGCATATCTTAGCTTGAGTTAACACAGTAAAATTAGTAGTCATCAGTATTTCTGTTAGGCATACTATTAGATGCCCCACCACACCCCATCAGATTTTGCAGATGAAACTGAGGCTTAAAAAGATGAAAGAATGTGATTTATTCAAGGCCACAATTTATAAATTCATGTTTGTTAGGGTTTAACTATTAGGTGTCTCCCAAAGCTCATGTTTGAGGCAATGTAAGAAGGTTTAGAGATGAAATGATTGGGTTATAACAGCCTTAACCTAATCAATGTGTTAATTCTCTGATAGGTATTGATTGGTGACCATAGGTAGGTGTGGTTGGAGGAGGTGTTTCACTGGGGGGATGTACCTTTATGGTATGTATTTTGTTTCTGTCCTTTTCAGTTCTCTCTCTTTTTTTTTCCTCTCTCTTTTTGCTTCCACATTCCTGGCTGCTTTCCTCTGCCACACACTTCTGCCATGATGTTCTACCTTAACCTCCTCTAAAATTGTCAGGTTTTTTGGTCATAGTAGCAAAAATACTAACTAAAACAAGTATGTCTGACATAAAGCCTTGGTCTCTGTCTCTCAATTAAAAGACGTATCCAGAATAGATGGATACTCTTTGGTACTTGCTTATACAACATCTGGAGTATTGGTTTTTGTTTTGTTTTGTTCGTTTTAAAAGTCATATTGGCATCATGAAAAAGGGTCGTCAAAGGGAGAGGAATCTGAGCAAAACTGCTTTGAGGGACAGCTGAAGGCATTAAGAAGGGTTTGCTTAGAGAAGGAACATGCTCTCTGTACGTCTACAGAAGTTGGAAGAAACCATGGCCAGAGAACAGATGTTACCAGGAGGTAGATTTAGGTTATTTTAAGCAAAACTTTTTAGGAAGAAATTTCTAAAAATAGAGTGGCAGAGTCAGACATTGTGGTGCACACCTGTTTTCTGTTACTCCAGAGACTGATATGGGAGTGTTCCTTGAATCTAGGAGTTCAAGAACAGCTTGGGAAACAGTGAAATTCCATCTAAAAAAAAGAAATAGTAAATAAAAAATAAAAATGACTTTTTCAAAACTAAGGCCCTATTCAAGTAGTAAAATTGCTGATAAAATTTTTGTAAGCATTTTAAATGCCAGAAGGAGCATTTAAACGAATTTGTAATTTAATCACAGCTCTAGAATAAGTTGTAGGGTTATTTCTATTTTTTAGATAAATAGTAAGATACTGATTTGTCCAAGGCTTCTGCAGCATATAATTGGCAAAGCCAGAATGAGATCCCAAGTCTGCTGACTCAAGATCTTGTGCTCTTTTCCACTTTAAAAGGCAGATGACCATGTATCATTAGTGCTAGAGAAGAAATGCCCATATTTGGGAAAGAAGTTAGTCTGGATGATTGTCAGATACCCCTGTGACTTTGAAAATCTTTGATTTTTCTGAATACTAAAAATTGACCACATTAGCTTATTCATACTTCTTTTAAAACTTTTCTGAATCCATTTCCTAACATATTTATCTTTAGATTTTGTTTATTCCCCACCCCATTACCTAGTAGTTTCTAAAAACCTTGCTTTGTCTCTTTATATTCCAGTCTTTTTCAGTCCCATACCTGCTCTTATTTAGTGGCTTCTTCTGTTGTATCTTCAAGAGGACAAAAATCGTAATAAACCAGTTTCCTTTCTTTACTTCTTCCCTGGACTGCCCTTCCAATTTAATTTTGCTATAGAAGACACCTAATAATGTGACATCTGCGACTGTAGTATCTGGTTTAGTTTTTTTTTAATAAATTTCATTTTTTCTACCTTTACCTCCTCTAAAATTGTCAGGTTTTTTGGTCATAGTAGCAAAAATGCTAACTGAAACAAGTAGGTCTGACATAAAGCCTTGGTCTCTGTCTCTCAATTAAAAGATGTGTCCAGAATACACCCTATCTTTATCTTTATAAACAAAATACCAAGCTGCCCTACTCTCTCCCTCACCACCTACCAGTGCCACCTGTATGTTCTTTGACATTTTTCTTTCCCCTCAGATCATATTCTGCTCACTTATAAGGCCTCCTATATCTCTTTGTGATTTTATTCTCTGATTTTACTCTTGACTTACTTTTTAAAAGTAGGCTTTATTGTTAGAGCATTTTTTGGTTCATAGCAGTATAGAGCAGAGATTTCTCATATATCCCCTGACCCAACACATGCAGAGCCTGCCCCATTATTAACATTATCCAACAGAGTAGTAAATTTGTGACAGTAATGAAACTTCCATTGGTACATTATTATTATCCAAAGTCCATATTTAATGTTAGGGTTTGCTCCTATGTACATTATGTGGGCCTGGACAATTGTTTAATGACATGTGTCTACCTTAAAAACATGAAGTTTCATTGCACTAAAAATCCTTTGTACTCTGCCTATTTATCCTTCCCTCATAATATTGTAGCCACTGACCTTTTTTTTTTAACCATAGGTAAATTAACATGATGGATTTCTCCAAGCTACCCAAAATAATCGATGAAGATAAAGAAAGCACATTTGGTTATGTTCATGGGGTCTCAGGGCCTGGTAAGTAATGTGTGAGACTAAGGATTCCTAACTTTGATTAATGTCTTTTCAGGATGTTTTAGGTAGAGGGAATCAAGTTTCTGTTTACCTACATAAATTCTGTCTTTAAAAGATCTTTTAATGACTGTGGACTAAAGTAATGTCTCTATCATAAGAGTTCATCTTGCATTGATCATGTAAATTTGAGTCATTGAGGTACTACTTTGTGTTATCCTATTTATGTTTATATTAGGTAAATGTATAACTGGTGTTTATTTTTACCTATATCTTCTATTTTCTTCTTGTTGTTAAATTTGAGGTTAAAAAATAGCTATAAAGTTTATAGCTTTTAGTGTGTAATGCCTTGAAGATAGCAGGCATTCTGTTAATCTATTAATTTGTTTTGAACTTTAATAATTATCTTCAAAGAATTGATAACAACTTTTGCTCTTTTCACTTCTAAATTATTATGAATGACTATTTAAAGTATCACATAGCTGGCTACCTTTGAGAGGGAAATTTAAGGACCTAATACTGTAATGGAAAGCAGGGCTTTTTTTTCTTTTTTTAAAAATTTCTTCTAATTAGTTATACATGACAGAAGAATGCATTTTGACACATAAATGGAATATAACTTCTCATTCTTCTGGTTGTACATGATGTGGAATTACACAGGTCATGTAATCATATATGCACTTAGGGTAATAATGTCCAATTCATTCTACTATCATTCCTACCTCATACCCCCTCCTCTCCTTTCACTCCCCTCTATCTAAAATACCTCTATTCTTCCCTAACACCTCCCTGCCCCACCCCCAAACCTTATTGTGAATTAGCATCCACATAGCAGAGAAAGCTTTTGGCCTTTGGTTCTTTGGGATTAGCTTATTTTGCTTAGCATTATAACTCCATCCATTTACCAGCAAATGCCATAATTTCATTCTTCTTTATGATTGAGGAAAGCTCCATTGTGTATATATACCACATTTTCTTTACTCATTCATCTGTTGAAGGGCACCTAGGTTGGTTCCATAGTTTAACTATTATGAATTGAGCTGCTATGAATGTTGATGGGGCTGCATCATTGTGGTATGATTATTTTAAGTCCTTTGGGTGTAAGCCAAGGAGTGGGATAAATAACTGGGTCAAATTGTAGTTCTATTCCACGTTTTCTGAGGACTTTCCTTACTGCTATGGAAAGTAGTTTTTAAACTTTATATCCATTCTGCCAAAACTTGAGAATACTGCTTTTTTTTTTGGCGGGGGATGGCGGGTACCAGTGATTGAACTCAGGGGCACTCAACCACTGAGCCACATCCCCATCTCCATTTTGTATTTTACTTAGAGACAGGGTCTCACTGCATTGCTTAGCATCTTGCTTTTACTGAGGCTGGCTTTGAACTTGATCCTCCTGCCTCAGCCTCCCTAGCAGCTGGGATTAAAGGCGTTGTGCCATTGTGCTAGGTGGGAGTTTTACTTTTTACATAATGAATCTCATTTCATTATTCATTTTGTTGTAGAACATTTCCACTACAAAATTTGATTCACAGTATTCTTAGGTAAAACATGCCCATTGATTTATTATTGTTAATGCCTTGAAAATTGATTTTCCCTTAAATCTTCTTATAAATCTTGTGCTATAGTCTTTTTCTTACTCTAGTCATGTTGGAAATGATTATACAATTTTTGCTATTTATGCAAATGAAGGCTATCGGTCACTGTGCCTCTTTTTTCCTAAGAACTTGGTATTTGCTCACTGGCATATAATAAAACAGTTATTCATTTATATATTTCATTGTTTACAATTTCTTTTGCCATTAAGAGAAACAATTTTCCTCTTAAAGATAATGAAGGTCTTTAGGACAGACAAAGTAAATATAAGAAGTTTCAGAGAAAAGAACAACATCAAAGAGTTTAGGTAAAATCATTCTGCAGAAATGTGGTAAACTGCTCTTGGTACCAATCTTAATTCTTAAGTACCTAATAGAGAAATAGCAGTCTTTTTGGCTCATGAAATAGGATTTTTTTGGCTCATGAAATACGATTTTGTCTGTAATATTTCAATGGATCTTAATTTTTCTTATAGTAAATATAAAAGTAAATATCAAATCTTTATATGTATAACAGGTTAGGTAAATATTTATACCTTCAGAGTTTCCGCTTAAATCTTGCCTGTTATGTAATTCTAATTAGTTATATCAGAAGGCTAAATATTAAGAATGGCTTTATTCCTGCATATTTGTAAAAATATGGCAACTTTCTTTCCCTTCCAGAAGAGATTTTTGCTTACTAGACAACATGGTCCAGATTAGTAAGATTTATTCATTTATTTATTTATTAGTTGTAGTTGGACACAATATCTTTATTTTATTTATTTATATGTGTTGCTGAGGATCAAACCCAGAGCCTCACACGTACTAGGCGAGCACTATACCACTGAGCCACAACCCCAGCAAAAAAAAAAAAAAAAATAGTAAGATCTTATTCTGACTCAAATTTTATAAGAAATTGGGGTTCATAATTGGGACTTTATCCAATGGTGGTGATTAATTATAAACATTGTTTATGAAAAAAAATTGACAGATGCATGTGAGCTATTCTATGTAGAGCTATCATTAGTTTATAAAAAGGGCTTTCAGGAGAGTTTTAAGAACCACTGAATTAAATAGTAGAAAGTAAAAATGTTTCTTTAAATATTATTTATCAAAAATACTGATAGTACAGCAAACTGAGAATTGTTGTGTGCCGGATTTCTGTTCTCGCGACTAAAAGGCTCAGGGATCACTCTAGTTAAACTGGGCTAACTGGGCTGCACGAAATAACCACACAAGAGACACAAATACCTTTTTCTTTGGGGTTGCTGTGACGGCTCCTCTGACCTTAAGGGTCCGCAGAAAGAGGGAGAGCGAGATCACGCGCAGACCCCTTTTATTGAGGAGAAACTATTCAAATGAGGCAAGGGGTCAGGTCTCAGGGGGCTGAGTCTATCTTCATGATGTCCACTGTCAGCAGGTTGACTGACACCTGGGTAGGTCACACCCAAGGGTACAGTAAGAGAAGGAGACACACACAAGGCACTTCCATGGAAGATTCTATCCTAAACAGGGTAAGGGGTTATATTACAAAGGAACAGGTGAGCATAGCTTCACCCATGGGGCTGTAGCAAGACACACCCATTTCTGTGACTGAGCGCCTCAGCACCCAGCTGGGGAGTGTAACTCAGTCACCCTTAAGGTTGACCTCCCACAGTTGTGGCATTCTAAAGGTTTTATTCCAATTTTAATTTTTTTAATGTTTGAAAATCCATTATTACATGTTTTATAGTAACCTGAGTTCATCAGAATATGCCTCAGGATAACCAGGAAAGAATTTGCCTAATAGATGTCAGACATTTGAAAATAGTTTTCATGTATAGTGTATAAATTAATAAACTTTAGCCTAATTTATTTTGTTTACCTCTTTATGACATGTACTAAACATACATCTTTATGTGAAACTACGAGTGTGTTCCGTAATGGGAGTTTTATCTTTGTTTTGAATGCATTAGAAAGTCATGTTATTGTATTTACAGAGCACCAAAGTCTTAAATCATCTAAACAGTCTTTTTTCTCTTCAGTGGTTACAGCCTGTGACATGGCAGGTGCAGCCATGTATGAGCTGGTAAGAGTGGGTCACAGTGAGTTGGTTGGAGAGATTATTCGATTGGAAGGTGACATGGCTACTATTCAGGTGTATGAAGAAACTTGTATCCTTTTTAATTCAATTTCCGGCCACTTTCTGTGTATTTAAATTCAAGTATTTAAGCCAAAGGTAAAAGCAGCAACTACTAGTCATATTAGAAGCAGGAAAAATAGCTGTCATAAAGAGTCTGGATATATATACATACACATACATACACATATACACATATTTATATATACATGCATACATACATATATATGCTTCTGATATAGGAGTATATTGAAAAAAGGAGAAAAGGTGCTAGGAATCAGTATTGTTATTTTAAGGAATTAGTATTAATGTTTTGAATTTTCGTTGCTCTTGATGTTTCAGGAGTTCACAGACTTCACGGGTATGCAATTGGAATTTTTTCAGAAGGACACATAAGGCATAAATGGAATAACAGTATTGATTTGTGTGGTTAAAATTCTCTAGCCATAATTTCTGTTTAAAATAATAAAGCTATAGTTAAATCAGTTACCAGTCTGTCTTCATTCTGATGAATAGCACTAGGTGACACGTTCCATTACACCTTTAGCACTAGGAAATCCTTATTGTTTGGTTATTAATATACTGGCTTTTAAACAATTTTCTTTGAAAAATGAAGAGTTTAAGACTTGAGTCTCGTGAAGAGGACCTTTGGGGGCATTCATATATATCTTTGTTTAAATCAGCATTAATTATTTGGGTATTTAATCAAGTTTTATTTTATGCTACTTTTTTGACCATTCTAAAATTCATACTTGCTGGTAACTGGTTTTCTTGTTCAAATACTGGGTGCTAATTTAAAACAAAATCATCTGAAAAAATAAATCTAAACAAAATTTTTTTTTTCCTATTGCTACCTTTATGTTTATTTAATCATTTGAGGGGACCTTCTGGACATTGAACAGGGCCTCTCCATGCTAAGCACAAACTCTACCATTGAGTTATACCCCAGCCCTATTTAATATTTTACATGACTTAAACATTTAAAATAAATGAAAATAAATACAGTGGCAACCTTTCCTAATTTTGTTATCCTGTACCTTGTCAGTTTTCAAAACCCACAACCACTTTAATTGACTCCTTTTATTATATATCCTTCTAGTTTCTTAATTGCACAACTAAGCAAATACATATTTTCCTTTCTTCTTCCCCCACAAGATGGCATTTTATGTGCACTATTCTGTATCCGACTTTTTTCACTTAAAAATATGTGCGTTACAGAAGATGTGCATGAATAATGTATTAAATAAAATAAAATATTGGTAAAATCTAGATGTTAGAGGGAGTTTACTAAAAAATTCTTTCAGCTTTGTTTAGGTTTTAAAAATTTCATAATAAGATACTGAGAATAAAAATGTTTATTTTGGAGAGCTTTCTAGAGAGATTCATACATGCTCCTATCCTTTTCTTCTAGTTACATATAATTCCATCATATGGGCGTATCACAGTTTATTAATTGATTTCTTAATGACAGAAAATTTGATTGTTTCTAATCTTTTGCTTTTATCAACAGTGCTACAGTGTAACCATGGTATGAATTCACAGAAGTTGGCTCCTAGGTTAAGATTTAACTATTTTTTAAAAAAAGATTTAACCATTTTTAATTTCAATAGATATTGCTAAATTGCTTTCAGTGAAAAGTGGTACTGATTTTACTCTTATGAACAAATACTAGAGAACAAGGTGAATTTATTGTGCTTATTTACAGATTTTACACTTTTCCTTTCAAAGTCACTTCCTTAGTTCATTATGTTTTTGTCCAGGTACTATTATCTTTTAGGGAGACTACTGTTCTATAGTGGTGTGTTTGAAATGATGAATTAATGAGAGGCTTGTCTCTTAGTTTTAGCCCTGTGGTTCCCAAACTGCAAAGACACTGGGCAGCTGCAGTAAACTCATGTGATGCCCAGAATACTTAAAATTTTTGAGGTTAACAAAGAAATATTAGATATCTTGTCAGATACTACATGAACTAGTAGCTTGAGATAATAAACATTTTTATTTTATTTTGCTGCATTACATTCTTGTTGGTGGTGTCATATCTTTGCAAAGCTGAGTGTTTGGTGGTTGCTAAGCTAAAAAGCAAGTAGGTAAAAGTCAGTATGGAATATGGATTTCCATTGTGATCGCAAAGTTTGAAAATAGGCATATACATCCTGTTAGTAAGAATTATGGTTATTTAGGGCTGAAATTTATACTCTTTTTTTCTTTCAACTGATGCATATTATTCTTTCATTGCTACTCAGTTGTTCACATACTTATGTATTTGTTAAATTGTTTAAACGTAACTATTTATTAATTGAAATTATAATTTTTTTGTCCTGGAACACTGTGAACTATTATTGAAATACTAAGGATGCTGTGAATTGAGAAAGTTAGGGAACCTCTACTTTTAAACTGTGATAATTCTTATTGGTCATATCTTTAAACTTTTATTGTGAGTTTTCCTCAACCACTATTTCTAGCTGGTGTATCTGTTGGAGACCCTGTACTCCGAACTGGAAAACCTCTCTCCGTTGAGCTTGGTCCTGGCATTATGGGAGCCATTTTTGATGGTATTCAAAGACCTTTGTCAGATATCAGCAGTCAGACCCAAAGTATCTACATCCCCAGAGGAGTAAATGTGTCTGCTCTTAGCAGAGATGTTAAATGGGATTTTACACCATGCAAAAACCTACGGGTATGTCTACGTAACCAAGAATTTCTAAAGTTGGTGAAAGAATGTGAAATGAATGTTTAGTGAACTATTTTGTACTCTTAGTCCAAATAAAAATAGACTACATGAGCATAGTTTAAATTTTTCCTTAAATGCATTGTAGGATTGATATTGATAAGTGAAGCAAATTGATTTTATAGCATCAGAAGTGATTCTGTTTGTTTATTTGAACACTAAATGTTAAATGCATTTTTCTCTAGGTTGGTAGCCATATCACTGGTGGAGATATTTATGCAATTGTCAATGAGAACTCACTCATCAAACACAAAATCATGTTACCCCCACGAAACCGAGGAACTGTCACTTATATTGCCCCACCTGGGAATTATGATACCTCTGTAAGTATCACTTAAACTTTATCCCACGGAGCAGCCTTATTTATATATTATAGTTGCTCCATTTTGATGCTGTAAATAGTCTAGGGATATAGCTCAGTTGGTAGAGTACTTGCCTTGCATGCACAAGGCCCTGGGTTTGATCCCCAGCACCAAAAAAAGAAAGAAAGAAAGAAAAAGAAAAAAAATATCAATCTCGATTCTCACTTCCATCTACCACCTTCCTATTCCCAAGAGAAATTGGGGATTACTTAAATTTTGGAGGAAGAAACATTTACAAATTTGACTGCACTTAAAACCATGCTGTATTTTTATAGGATGTTGTCTTGGAGCTTGAATTTGAAGGTATAAAGGAGAAGTTCAACATGGTCCAGGTATGGCCTGTTCGTCAAGTTCGTCCTGTCACTGAGAAGCTGCCAGCCAATCATCCTTTGCTGACTGGCCAGAGAGTCCTTGATGCCCTTTTTCCGTAAGTTTGGGATTTGTCCTACAATTTTCTCTCAGAGTTATTATATGTGCCTATCTTTTCATTATCTTTGTAAATAAAGGTGTTATGTGCTTGAAACCATAATAATATCCAGAGTAATATGGTTCATGTTTATAGAGTCAAACCATTAAAAATAAGTTTTTCCCCCATGGAGGCAAACAGGATTGTTTATTTCTAAAATGTTCTGAAAAACTAAAATTTCCATAAGAATATCTGAGCCAAAACAATGTATTGCTCTTAAGTTATCTTAGAATTAGTAGACTGGTGTTACTGTTCGTTAATGATTTCTAAAGTCAGCTAGGCTCTTTATGCTGCCAGCATTATTTCTTAATTTGTAGTCTGCTCTTACTATTTTCTTTTCTTAAAAAATCTTTTCCTTTATTTGTAAATTTTAGTCTTTATCATATCCTGCTTTATTTCAACAAATGACTATCATTTAAGTCACACAAAAGACTGAAACTGCAAGGCAGGAGCTCCTCAACCTCTGACCAAACCAGTGCACTTTTTTGTGTGTGTGGTGCTGGGGATTGAACTTTGGACTTTGTGCCCTCTACCACTGAGCTCATTCCCACCCTCCCATGCACTTCTTTTTTTTTTTTTTTGGTTTTGGGGATTGAACACAGGGGTGCTTAATCACTGAGCTACATCCTCAGCCCTTTTTATCTATTATTTTTGAGACAAGGTCTCCCTAAGTTGCTTAGGGCTTGCTGTTACTGCGTCTGGCTTTGAATTTGCAATTCTCCTACCTCACTCTCTTGAGTTGCTGAGATTACAGGCATGTGCCACTGCTTCAGGCTGTCCCTCCTGTGCAATCTTAAGGAATTTTCTTAATTTTTGAGTTGCTCTTGCTATTATTATTTCTTTGAGAGCTCCATTCTAAGTGGGAGACTATTATGCTAAGTGAAATAAGCCAAATTCAGAAAGCTGAAGGTCAAATGTTTTCTGCTTTGTGGAAGCTGGCCCAGAATAAGTGGGGGAAGGAGTAGGGAGAGAAAGAAAGGGAAGTGGGGATTCCATCAGAATAGAAGAGAGACAGATGGATTAGATGAAGGGCATGGAGAGGAAGGAAGAAGAGATGGGATAGGGGAAGAACAGTAGAATGAATCTGACCTAACTTGCCCCTGTACATATATGAATATACTGCTGTGAATCTCACCATCATGTATGTCCACAAGACATTAACTTAAAAAAAAAAAAGGAAGTAAATATCAGAAAGATCAGTAGAATAGAGGGAAGGAAACGGGGAGGAAAGAGGATAGTGAGAACTAGGGACTGAATTAGAGCAAATATATTCCATGTTTTATAATTATGTCAAAATCAATCCTAGTGTTATGTATAACTAAAAAAAATTAAAAATCTTCATCCTTTGACACTTTTTTCTTATTAGTCACTACCTATTTCCATACCTTTCACTATTCAGCCTAGACTAGACTTAATATATTGTCTTTCATTCTTATGGCTCTTTGTTACTAATGTAATAAATCTTGTTGTTCCTCTGTATTTTAACATACCACCTAGAAAAATCAATCTAGCTAGCTCCTTTTCTTAACTCTACTCATAGGTATCTAACTGTACTATTGGGTAGCAATCCTTCTGCATTTCACTAGTTATACTTCTCAGCAGCTATTTCAAACTATTCCACTTGCCTCAGATCTTTAATTCCACCCTTCTTTCTTCTTTCTTTATAAATGATCATTCTGGATCTTTCACAGAGAAATTAGAAAGCATGAGTTTTGGAACCCCTTAGAGGCAGTTGACCACTGAGCCACATACTCAGGCCTATTTTGTATTTCATTTAGAGACAGGGTCTCACTGAATTGCTTAGCACCTCACTTTTGCTGAGGCTGGCTTTGAACTCTTGATCCTCCTGCATCAGTCTCCTGGGTCATTGGGATTAGGGGCGTGCACCACTGTGCCCAGCTCTACTTTTCTTTTTCTGGAGCTTATCTCCTGTCATGTCTCCTCAAAGATCAGAGTCATCTTCCCTTTCTCTCCTCTCTAATGATAAAAGTCTATCTTCTACCCTCTGTTTCTTTCCAACTTGTCACTACTTTTCTCCTCATCTTCATTGACAAACATTTTGAAAGAGTAAGAAAGTTGTCTCTGCTTTTCCCACTCTCACTGTACTCTGCCCTTTTTTATATGAATCCCTTGAACTACCCTCACTGCTGTCATCAGTCACTCCCATTCTTGATCAAGAAATATATTTTCTTAATCCCTACAGCTTTGAATATTGATGTTACTCTTTCCTTGAAACACCCTCTTTTTTTGTTCTTCCTAATATTTCTGTGTACAAGTTCTTATTCTGTTGTAAACTTCTCCCCTTAAGTTTTGGTGCTCTTTAGGATTTTTGCTTTTCTAAAGCTTCTTTGTCCTTACTCTGTCTCTTGGGATGACTTTTATAAACTCTCCTGATTTAAATATTCATCCATGTGTGATGACTCTTTTCTGTATCTTTATCCCAGACCTTTCCTGACTTCCAGATTTATATATCTACTTCTGATAATACCTTTTGAGTATCCTACAAGTGCCTCAATATCAGCATATTCAAAACTGAATCCACCTTAATCACCACCCCTTCTTTGAAACTTGTTCCTTTTCTTTGTTGCCTCTTCACAGATGTCATTTCTGTGACTTCTCAAGGACTGATCTTATCTTCCCATATCTAGTTCAGCAAATGCTTTTATTCTGTTTTCTAAATATTTTTATCTGTGTTTTTAATTCTTATTCCATTTCTGTAGTTAAAGCCCCGCCCTAATTCCTGCAATGATTACATATAATCAGACTTGCTGTCCTCAGTTTTGCTTTCTTTTTAGGTGGTTTTCCATATGACGTAGTGGTCCATCTAAAACATATCTGATCGTGCACTCTTTTAATTAAAACTCTTAATGTATTTTTCATTGCTCTTAAAAAATAATACATATCATGAATTTCTTACAAAGTCACCAATCATCTGGCTATGCCTACTTTCCAGCATTGACTCAGCCACTCATCTGCCCAACTACTTCCTTAAAGGCCATCTTCTAGAAATATTGGAAAGACTTTTAATTCCTCAAGCAATGGTCTCTCCTGCCCCTGGACCTTTGGGCATGCTGTTCCCTCTGCTTCGATTGGTATTTCCTTTCATCTGGCTGACTTCCATTTCCTTCAAGTCTTAACCTACTTTCAGATCCTCCTGCTCCAAACCAGTGTCAAAGTTTTCACATTGGATTGATAAATTTCCAAATTGGGTATACCCAGTCCCATCCCCACTCCAGGTTAAATTGATTTGGCAGAAGTATGGAGAGCCATTATGAGAGAAGTATGCAGAGAAATGTGACATGCCTTAGTCTATCAAATACCTAAAAGGTTTGGAGGAAAACAATTTTGATGCATATTAGTTTTATATTGGGAAAAAAATCTGTTTTCATAATTAAGGATGCAATGGTTCTATGGATTTTTAAGATAAAAATAATATTACAAAGACTTTTCCTTTAGAATTATATCCTGTTTTTTCTGATCACACCCTTCCCTCACACACACAAAGAGTGGCATCCACTTTCTGTTGCCACTTTTTATGGAGAGTTTGGCAGCTAAATGGTATCATAATCACCAGCTGATTCACCAGTTAGTTTATCCCACTGGAATCTGAGCTTTGTGAATACAAGAACATCACTATTTTATTGGCTGTTTGTTGTCTTTCCAGCATCTCCAAGCACAGTTTTTAGTACCTAGAAAACAGTGCTCAATAAATAGTACCTAGAAAACAGTGCTCAGTAAATAGAGGATTAACTTAATACTTTAACAAAACTTTGTTCATTGAACTTTATAGTTGTTTGTATTTTTTATTTTTAATTCCTGTACTGTTTCCCCCCTACCCCAGGAGTATTAGGTATTGAGCTACTACATCCCTAGTCCTTTTTATTGTTTATTTTGAAACAAGGTCTTACTAAGTTGTTGAGGCTGGCCTAGAACTAGTGATCCTCCTGCTTCAGCCTTCTGAGTAGCTGGGATTATAGATGAGCGCCACCATGCCTATCCTCCTGTATTGTCTTGTATTGTCCTGTATTGTCATAAACTAATTTATATAAGCATTCAGAATATTAGCACCATCTTATTGTATTTTCACACTCCTCTTCCCCAGGTGCCTCATGAAATATACTTGCCCTGTTCTGCGAGTAAAGATGATAGAGATGAATAATGATTAAAAGATATTATTAAAGATATAAAAAAGGGGAACAATTACTATATTTATGTGTGTATATCTTATACGTGTGTTTATAGAATATTTCAGAGCGTTTTCTTTCCTTATATTTGTTTCACTTACCTACTTTTAAATATTTAATAGTATTTATTAGCAAGCAAAGCATTCCATTAATTTTTTTCTTTTTATTTCTTTGTTAGGTGTGTACAAGGTGGAACTACTGCTATCCCTGGAGCTTTTGGCTGTGGAAAGACAGTGATATCACAGTCTCTCTCCAAGTATTCCAATAGTGATGTGATCATTTATGTAGGATGTGGTGAAAGAGGAAACGAGATGTCTGAAGTCCTCCGGGACTTCCCAGAGGTCTGTATGTGGAAAACTTCAAATACTATTCTAGAGAAAATACCACATATCAACTTTCATGGCAATTAATAAAGCTTAATATTAGGTCTGGAGTAATACTCTTCTTTGTCAAGGATATTTTTAGAAATTTTAAAGAAATATCTATGATTTTATATTGAAGGAAAGAAATTTAAATTTTTCAGTCAGACTCTTGAAAGTTTCTCTTTTTGGTATGGAGGTGAAAGATAAAACAGACAAAAATATTTATGTATGTGAACTTTACATAGGTTTTGTGATCTACTAGTTTCTATTATAGAAATATTTTCTTTTCATAAAATAATAGATTTCATTTATGAAATGGAAATAATATCTATCTTCATAGCATAGCACCATGGTACAGGAAAGAGCAGTTAGAGTAATAGGGAATATTATTTGGGAAATACGGGTTAGAGGAATTAAACATGGACAAGTTATGAAAGATAGGGTTGAGGAACCAAAATGTTACATTTAGAACTCAGGAGTACCTATGGATTTTTTTTTTTTTTTTTTTTTTACCTCTAGCTCACTATGGAAGTTGATGGTAAGGTAGAGTCAATCATGAAGAGGACAGCTTTAGTAGCCAATACCTCCAATATGCCTGTTGCTGCTAGAGAAGCCTCTATTTATACTGGTGAGTTACAGATTGTCATAAAGCAATTAATACCTGTTCTTAAACTTAAAGCTAGCACCAAGATTTTCCTTTTGCAGAGAACTTTTCTTTCATTCTATGATACTTTTATATAGTTACATCCTAACTTTAAAAAGATATTTTCCTTTTTATACTTGAAAGTAAATAAACAGAAGATATTTATAGAACTGCTCCAGTATTTTTAATAACCATGAAATGATATATTTATACCTTTTCCCATTGATCTGTCTTTAAATATGCTTAGATTATCAGCTTTAAATTATTATATTTTGACTAGTGATATAAAAGATAAGAAAATTGGTGTGTTTATATATTACCTTCCATCTTTACTCCCACTTCAATCTCAACTTTTAGTGTTTTTATTTCTGTTTTTCAGAACTCATTTAATTTGTATTCTGTTTTTCTAACAGTAAGTCCAGTATTTAATTAAATTTAGCTTTAGACCTGCAGCAAAATGGAGTTAATGCTCACTAGCAGTCCTTTGGCTATAGTTTGTCTGTTTATTTCTTGTTTGGCTAAAATTTGCCTGGAAGTTTCTTCAAGACAGGCTTATAGAAACTGTATTTCCTGAATTCTTGTTTCTTCCTAAGTTTTTTTTTTTTGTTTTATTTTTCCTGTTGCCTTTAAGCTTTAATAGTAATTTGAATATAAAATTTTTGGTTCAATTATTAATTCTAGTCTGGTGGTTTTCCCTTATTGGGAGGAAGATAAAACAGACAAAACATTAATGTATATGAGTTTCATAAATGTTATGATCTACTAGGTTTACTAGAGTAAAATTTTTTTTATAGATTAAATGGATATGATATATGGAATTGAATTGATGCCTGTTCAACTTTAACCATAGTTTGGCTTAGTATAAAAGTCTTGCTTCAATATTATTCCCTTGAGAACTCTTATTCTAGCATTAAATATTGGAGAAATGTCTGAGACTGACTTTTTTTTTTTTCTTTTAGAGTTGGTTTTTCTATTTGCCCAAAGGAATTTCTCTTTAAATTTCAAGTCTCATATTGATATCTTTGATTAATTTTTCTGAGACATGGTACAACTGTTCAATCTATTAATATATCTTATCTCTCTTCCGTATGTTATCATTTCTTCTCCAGTCCCTTCTTTTTAACCTTTTGTCTGTACACAGAATAAATGACATTTATTCTTTGTGTTGCTTCTAATGAAACCTTTATTTCTAAAATAGTTTTATCTTTCCTACCAGTTCTTTGTTGAGTTCTGCCAGCTCTTGAAATATCTCTCTTTTTTTTTTTTTTTTTTTTTGTCTTGCTAGATAATCCTTGAGATTTTATTTTGTGGTAGGATGCATTATTATGGTTCAACTCGGTTGTAGTTTTCATCTGTTCCTTGTCAGGTTCTTTTGCCAATATTATATCCCCTTCTATCTTTTTTCAAATTTCATCTTTGTTTAGATATCCTGTGCTTATATTTATTGTCACTATTATTCATCTCTGTGTAGGAGATAGCAGGGTTTGGCTATGACTGTGGTCCAGAGTAACTGGAATTCTTCATGGTTACAGTTTGTGGCAGGGTGCAGTTGTGTAACTAAATTATTTTACTTTTTACTTGTCCTGCCGACAGAAGTCAGCAGCTGTAAGGCAAATTCTTTCTTTTCTACCCTGCCTCTCACACTTTTTATGTAGTGAAAATAGGAAGTTCCTACATGTATTTTGTTCACATCTATCTCCCTGCTTCTCCTTGATGTCATTCTGGATCCAGGAAACTCCTGCCACTAATTATGTAGTCCTTTGAAGTGATTCAAACAAAGGATTTTTGGTTTTGTTCCTCAGAATGTGTCTCCTTATTTTTAGAAATTTTATCTGAGTTGTGTTGCCTCAGATGAATTCTTGGTGTTTCCACACACTTTAGTTTGATTTTCACTCATTCAAGTGGCTTTCCTCATTATTTTGTTATAGTGCTAAATGTGTCTCTTACCTTTTGATAATTGAATTTATATGTTTCTTGTTCTTGTTTGGTAGTTAACTTTTATGAGAAGGTAGAGAATTCATCTGAGGCTTACAACTCAGATAAAGCTTTTGACAACTAGGAAACTCAGCCTGAGTTCCTAGACAACTAAGGTTAATGGCAGCACAGGAATCAGAACCTGAGACTTCTTTGTATATATTAGCTTCTTGTGTGAATTTACAAGACAGGACCTGATCTACTATTTTAGTCAGCTTTTTTGCTGTTGTGACTTGACCTGACAAGAACAATTTTAGAAGAGGAAAAGATCATTTGTAGGCTCATGGTTTCAGTCCATAGATAGCTGCCTGCATTCTTCAGGGATCCAGGTGAGAGGCAGAACATCATGGTAGAAGAGTGTAGTGGAGGGAAGTGGCTCAGTTGATGATCAGGAAGCAGAAAGAAAGACTCCACATGCTAGATACAAAATATATACCCCAAAGGCATGCCCCCAGTGACCTACCTCCTCTAGCCACACCCTACCACTCTGTTAATTCCTATCAGGGCATTAGTTTACTGATTCAGTTAAGGCTGTCATAACCCATTGGGGGGACACCTCACATCCAAACCATAACATCTACCATTTTAATATGGAAAATCTACCTCATTTTTTATGTGGCTTCATGTCCCCACCCCCCTTTTTCTTAATTACTATTTTTTTTTTTTTTTTTTTTTTGATACCGAGGATTAAACCCAGAGCGCTCCATCACAGAGCCACATCTCCAGCCCTTTTTTGTATTTTATTTACAGACAGGGTCTCACTAAGTTGCTTAAGACCTCACTGAGTTGATGAGGCCAGCTTTGAACTTGTGATCTTCCTGCCTTATCCTTCAGCACCGCTGGGATTACAGGCATGCACCATTACAGGCTGCATGCCCCTTTGATAGCATAATCTAATGAATAAACATCTGTTTATTGGACAGTTGGATTGATTACTATCACAAACAATGCATCACTAAGCCATCCTTATGCATGTGTTTTATACTGAGTTTGTTTTTGTTGTTGTTTGGTTGGTCAGTTGGATTTTTTGGCAGGGGCAGTATGTTTTGTGTGCTTATTTCTTTGTTCACAATTTCTAAGAGTAATTTCTTAGAATTAAAATTCTTGAGAGTAGAACGCTTAATATAGAGTTTAAATTATGTTAATCATTCAGAAGGAATAACTATATCCAAATGAAAAATGTAAAGGAAATATACATTTTCAGATTATAAAGATGTTGTAAAGAAAAAGATGAAATGAATGTGAAGGTATGTCATTGCAAAAAAAAAAAACGTAATAACTATAGACAAATTTCTGTTTACCCACCTCTACACCAATGCTAGTATTTTTAAACACTTTCTTATATGCTTATCAAACAATAGAAAATTAAAGTAATATTACAGTGAATACCCCAGCACATACCAGCACCTAGACTGATTAACTAACATTTTAAATATTCTTACTTTATTAGATATCTATCCTATTTGTATTTCTTAACAGTGAACTAGCATCTTTTTGTGTGTATTAACCCTTAAAAGCTGTCTTCTGTCCATTTTCCTTTTGGTTGGTAATTATTTTTCATGCACCAAGAATTCATCTGAGGCTTACAACGCAGATAAAGCTTTTGACAACTAGAAAACTCATCCTGAGTTCCTAGACTAAGATTAACGGCAGCACAGGAATCAGAACCTGAGACTTCTTTGTATATATTAGCTTCTTGTGTGACTTTACAAGACAGGACCTGATCTACATACAAGAAGGATTGAAAATTGAAATATTTCTTATATTAACAACATTTGTTACTTTTAAAAAATAACCATAAAAGCTAATTAGTTGAGTTTTAAGTATCCATATGTGTATGTGATATCTAGATTAGACAAACTACGTTTGGAAATTAATTCAGACTTAATTGTTTCAACACAGAATAGGGGAAAAAATCTTCTTGTTTTTTAAAATGTGTATTATGTTGGGATAGGATAGACTATGCTATCAAATATTACCAAACATTTAATTGTTCATTGTAATAGATGTTTATTTCAGGTAGTCAGGGGCTCTTTGTCAACTAGGCTGGAGTCCAAGATAAAAAGAGTTTTTTAGTTTTTAACACATAGCTTTCATACTTCTGGGTGTTCTCAGAAAAATGGAGGAAAGTCTGTGACTTGCTTCACCTTCATGCCCACAAGGGAAAGGGTAGATTTGGGGGAACAGCTAACAGTCTACTTCATATATTTAATGCTATAAAGTTTTCTTAAGGGTAGAAAGTCAGAAATGTATATCCTAACATTGTAATTTGTAATATTCCTCTCAATTTAGGCATTACACTATCAGAATATTTCCGTGACATGGGCTACCATGTCAGTATGATGGCTGACTCTACCTCGAGATGGGCCGAGGCCCTTAGAGAAATCTCAGGTCGCTTAGCTGAAATGCCTGCAGGTAAGTCTTTGTGTTGCTTATCATGTAAGCAAGACTGATAGGACTTTGGGAGCTGGCTTAGAACCCCTCTTTTAAAATTTCTTTTCATTTTTCAGATAGTGGATATCCTGCATATCTTGGTGCACGTCTGGCTTCTTTCTATGAGCGAGCAGGCAGAGTGAAATGTCTTGGAAATCCTGAAAGAGAAGGAAGTGTCAGCATTGTAGGAGCGTAAGCACCCAAATGGTTTACTTTTCAAAAGCAAAAAGATTTAAAAGAGAATATATTTTTACTTTCTCTGGTAGCAGTGATTCTTAACCAGGGCTACATTCCGTTGCCACAGAGCTTCAAAGTAGTTCTTTGAAGATGTTCAGGTCATCTCTACATGTTCGGACTCTATAGTTGTACCTTCACTGATGTATTGTATTTGAGTCACAGTATTTTAGGAATAACTTAAAAAATTATAGACATGGTGAAATTAAATCATGGTAAAAGCAAAGTAAAGCCAGACATGGTGGTACATGCCTGTTATCCTAGCAACTGGGGAAGATGAATGAGGCAGGAGAATCACAATTTTGATGCCATCCTCAGCAACTTAGGCCCTAAGCAACTTGGCAAGACCCTGTCTCAAAATAAAAGGATGTTGCTCAGTGTTTAAATGTTTCTGAGTTCAATCCCTAACACCAAAAATCAATAAATAAATAGTAAAGATTTTATGATTTCTACATAAAGCCATACTTAGTTCTCCAGCTTTTCCTTTCTTCCTGTTCATCTGTTTGAATAGAATAATGAAATTGATTGTAATAAAAGATCATCTTATTTCTCACACTAGAAGGTGTTCAATAATTCATTGTTATCTGCAGTGTAGTTCTGGCTTTTAAGATTTTTATGTAACATTTTTCTTTCCAAGGATCATTTATTTCTAATTAGAAATAATTTCTAATAAAATTTCCAATTTTATTTATGTTAAAAAGTTAGGGCTTGAATTACAGCCCAGTCATAGAACTTGTGTTTATCTTTTGTTCAGTTTGTTTTGATATTGGGTTCACCAAAAATAAATAAATAAATAAGCTTTTACTTAAAAATTGACTTTCAAAAAATTTGGCTTTCACGTGTTATTTTTTTATAGCATTCTGCTGACTATATCATTATTATTATTTTTTTTATTCTAGAGTTTCTCCACCTGGTGGTGATTTTTCTGATCCAGTTACATCTGCTACTCTTGGTATTGTTCAGGTATGTCCTTCCATAGTGTATTTAGTTTCTGAGTCTTTCCTCCTGTGCTGTTCTTCTTAGCTGTTCTAACACTACTTAAGTCATCATGTAAAATTTAATTTAGTCACTAAAGAGAAAACAGTGGTAAAGTATGTTTTAGAAATATCTTTAACACCAAGAGTCTTTAATACTGCTTTTCCTTAGCTCTTTTACCAGGTTTTATATTAAACTTAATATATTCATGGACAGTATGCACAGATAACCGTAACTATAGGGTCCAAACAGAAAGGTCAAAAACTGTGTAATGGGGGCTGGAGTTGTATCTCAGTAGTTGAGTGCTTGCCTCATACGTTTGAGGCACTGGGTTTGATTCCTAGCACCACATTAAAATAAGCATTTGTCATTTGTTGATGGACCTTTATGATGAAATAAAGGTCCATCAATAAGTAAAAAAAAAAAAAAAAAATTTAATTAAAAAAATAATTGTGTAATGACAAAAACCTAGAAGTTTATTTTAACTCGAAAGTATGATCAAGGGTAGATGATCCTATCCAAAAGGGGTTCTATATCATCCTGTCATAGTTGGATTCCATAGCTTGTTCCATCTTGTGGCTCTACCATCACCTCGCCTGGTAATCATCTGGAAATTACAAGGGAAAACTGTAGAGAAGGCACATCCACATTTTTTTATGGGGGGAGCCAGTAGCTGGGCATGGTGGCGCATATCTTTAATCCCAGCAGCTCAGGAGGCTGAGGCAGGAGGATATTGAGTTCAAAGCCAGCCTCAGCAAAAGTGAGGTGCTAAGCAACTCAGTGAGACCCTGTCTCTAAATAAAATACAAAATAGGGCTGGGGTTGTGGCTCAGTGGTCTAGTGCCCCTGAGTTCAATCCCCAGTACCCCTCCTCTTAAAAAAAAAAAAAAAAAAAAGTGACCCAGTCATTTCACTCATCTGTTAACTATATCTAGATGACAGCAAAATCAGAAAATATACTTAATGCCTTGGCATTTGCTTCCCTGTGACAAGGAGGATTGTGAGTTCAAAACCAGCCTTGGGAGGGGGCGCGGCTGGGGTTGTAGCTTAGCAGTAGAGCTCTTGTCTCGAACGCACGGGACCCTGGGTTCGATCCTCAGCACCCCATAAAAAATAAATGAGTGAAATAAAGGTATTGTGATAAATATTTTTTTAAAAATTAAAAAAAAAAAAACAGTCTTAGCAAAAGCAAGGTGCTAAGCAACTCAGTGAGAGACCCTGTCTCTAAATGAAACACAAAATAGGTCTGGGGATATGGCTCAGTGGTTGAGTGCCCCTGATGCCTCTGGGTTCAATCTCCAGTACCCAGAAAAAAGATGTATGATTCAGAGCTATAGTTAAAAAAAAAAAAAAAGTTTATATGAAGGAATGAATCATAAGTAAGTATGTATGTATAATTCATGTAGGAAAAACAGAATGCTTACCTGTGTTTCTGACAGTAACAGAAGAAATAGCAGAGGCTAAGTTTACATTTTTAAAAGTCTTTAACCTATGCTAAAATTTTGAGTTTAAATTATGAGGGAAGGTGGAACAAAGTTAGGAATTCATGAAGGTTTAGTCTCTGAAACATGAGTGTCAAATTTTATTGCATTGCCCTTTAATGATAGGAAACTGAATTTAATCAGAACATTTAGAGGTTTTTAATCAAAGTAAAGTGTCCATTCCATTTCAATAAGCCTTTTCTTGTTCTTATGTTTATATTGTACCATAATAATCTTCAAAAGTGTCATTTTGCCTTTTTGCTATCACATTTCACATTATTAAAGAAAGTTACATAAAATTTGAATTTGACTTGTATTATTATCCACCCTGAAAGTGAGAATACATTTTTAATGAACATTTTCTACAAGTTTATTCTGTTTTGATAACACTTGACACATACTAAAAATTAAATAATTTGTCCAGTAAATTAAACATATTTAGGAAAAACAAATATGCTTCAGTACTCTTAAAAACTTTTTAAGAAAATGATTTTTTTTTTTATTAGGTGTTTTGGGGATTAGATAAGAAACTAGCCCAACGTAAGCATTTCCCCTCTGTCAACTGGCTCATCAGCTACAGCAAGTACATGCGTGCATTGGACGAGTACTATGACAAACATTTCACAGAGTTTGTTCCTCTGAGGACCAAAGCTAAGGAAATTCTTCAGGAAGAAGAAGACCTGGCAGAAATTGTACAGCTTGTGGGAAAGGTGAGTTGTTAAATCCCATGGGTTATATTGTTACAGTGGCCAGTTAAAACCTTGGGTATATTCTTACCAAGCAAGATGAATAAATCCTAAACTTAAATTCAATTTTAAAATATAATAAGTTTTAAATATTTTTAAAACTATTTTTTTTTTTGAGGGTGGGAGGTACTGAGGATTGAATCCAGGCATGCTTAACTACTGAACCACATCCCCAGTCCTTTTTTACATTCTATTTATTGACAGGGTCTCACTGAGTTGCTGAAGCTGGGTTTGAATTTGTGATCCTCCTGCCTCAGCCTCCAGAGCTGCTGGATTATAGTAATGTGCCACCACACCTGGCAAATTTGTTATTCTTTTTTAAATTCATTTATTTAAATTTTTTTAGTTGTCGGTGGACCTTTGTTTTATTTGTTTATATGCAGTGTTGAGAATCAAACCCAGGGCCTTACACATGCTAGGCAAGTGCTCTGCCACTGAGCCACAACACAGCCCAAATTTTTATTCTTTATAGCCCTTAGCATGGTCCTGAGTTTATTGTAGATGAGAGAGGAAAAAAAACAAAACACCACTTGATTTTCTTTGGGTTCTTGAAATGAAATGTATCCATCAACCAATCAAACTAGAAATGATAGAGGTAGTGTCTTTAACATAAAATTTTTTAAGAACACTGGGACTGGGAATCAAGGATTGGATTCTAGTCCATCCATTAATTAACTATGGATCTTAAACAAGTAACTTACATTCTTATACTTATGTCTTCATGTTTCACCAGAAGATGGTGAGCCAGGAGCAGTGGTACATACCTGTAATCCCATTGGTTCAGGAGGCTGAAGCAGGATGATTGCATATTTGAAGCCAGCCTCAGCAAACTAGCAAGACCCTGTCTCAAAATAAAAAATAAAAAGAACTGGGTATTGGTAAAGTACCCCTGGGTACCTAGTACCCTACCCTAAAAAAGAAGGTGATGATGATGATGGTTTAATTAAATGTAGCCTAATTAAATTGCTGAATCAAATGACTTTTCATATAGTATGCAGAACTAGTTAGGACTGTTAGAGGAACTGAGGATATAGCTCAGTTGGTAGAGTGCTTTCCTCATGTGCACAAGGCCCTGGGTTTGATTCCTAGCACCACAAAAAGAAAAAATAAATTTTTAGGGCTGGTCATGGTGGCAGATGCCCATAATCCTAACAACTCAGGAGGCTGAGGCAGGAGGATTGCTAGTTCAAGGCTAACCTCAGCAATTTAGCAGCAGGTAGTGGGGCAGAGCTGGGGATGTGGCTCAGTGATTAAGTGTCCTTAGGTTTAATCCCCAATACCAAAAAAGAAAAGGTAAGGACTATTAGAGTTCTCCATCTGATTCTGTTCTTTTGATGATACCTTAAAAATTCACCTCCTAATTTTTCCCAATAAAGATAGTTTTATTAAATAACTAACATGTATAGCATGTATTAAATATTTATTATTTATAAGGTACTGTGGCTCTCTGAGATTAACAACAAACAGAAGACCTGCAAAACCAGATAAAGGCAATACAGAAAATAAAATTACATGTTTATTTTGTTTATGAATGTAGATATAAAAGTATTAAATGTTCATTTGTTACACCAAGTAGGTTATTCAAAATAGAATAATGTATCCTGAACAAGTAAAGGAATGCAAATGTGATTCAACACAGTATTATTATAATTTCCCAGTATAATTAATGTGACAGAAAAGAATATCTTAATCAATATGGAAGAAATATTTGAAGTTTATTTCTTATGAGTTTTAGAAACCTCTTAGGCAAGAAGGAATAGAAGTAAACTTCCTTAGTTTGTTAAAAGATACTAAGCTGAGGAGCTCGGGTTGTAGCTTAGTGGTAAAGCGCTTGCCTAGCATGTATGGGGTGCTGGATTCGATCCTCAGCACCACATAAAAATAAGTAAACAAAGGTATTGTGTCCATCTACAACTAAAAGAAAAAAAATTTTTTTTAAAGATACTAAGTTGAATGTGATGGCATGTGTCTGTAATACCAGCTCCTGGGGAGGCTGTGGCCAAAGAGCCCAGAATTCGAGACCAGCCTGAGCAACATAGCAAGACCCCATCTCAAAAAAAAATAAATAAATAAAAATAGCATGCTGAATGTGGGGGAAATATTTGATATAATGAAGAATAGAAAGATTTCAAATGCATTTATTTTTTAAAAAAATCAGTATTAAGACAAGAATGTCTGTTATCACTGTGTTCAATTGAATAGAGAGGTCCTTATTAATAATGTTAGAAATCAGACAAGTTGTAAAGGAAGAGATTAAAATGTCATTATTTATAGATAATATGTTCATATAACTACAAAAATAACAACAGAGGAAAAGAAATAATAAGAGTATAAGAAGGAGTTGTGATGCAAGATAAATATAAATAAAGAAAATTTCACTAGGATTAGGAATGTGGTTCAGTGGTAGAGTGCTTGCCTAGCATGCATGAGGCCCTCAGTTCTATCCAAAGCACTGAAAAATAAAAATTCTCAATACAAGCAATATTAATTAGGAAATAAAACTAAAAATAAGATTTTCATAATAGCAACAACAAATAGAGTATATGCACTGCCCAGAAATCCATATTTCTGTTATGGAAAAATGTCTTTAAACTAAAAAATGAAACAGAAAATAATCTAAAAAAGTCTACTCTTTTGGATGGATGACTTATTAAAAAATTACCACTTCTCTTTAAAATGTAAGTTCAATGTGATGCTAGTCAAATTTCTAGTTGAATCTTCTGAGCAAATCACTAATCATTCCAAAATCTATTTGCTATCACAAAGATTCACAATCTTAAAAATAAAATAAAAATAAAAAGTAAGGAACTTCCCTCTATTGTTTAATACAAAACCATAGAAAGAAAAACAGTATGGTATTGGTGAAATAACAAACAGTGGTGGGACAGAATAGATATAGACTTGTTTATGTGCGTTCCCTTGATATTGTGAAGCGACTCCACAAATCAAGTGAGAGGATAATAGGTTCTTTTAGTGAACAGTGGAAAACTACTACTTGGAGAAAATAGAACTGGATTGCTACTAAATTCCACATATTAAGGTAGACTCCCGGTAGATTATCAATTTAACTATTAGAGGGAAGAGGTTAATAGAAAAGAAATATTAAGGATAACTTTTTGATCTAGGATTAGAGAAGGACTTCTTAAACCAACCTCATTGAACACATTAAAAGAAAACAAAGGTTTTTTGATAAAAGTAAGAATTTTTGTTCAACAAAGGCTTACCCATGAATAAAGGTAACAAACTGATGACAGATTGGGATAGGAAGTTTCTGACAAGTAAAACTGGTGGGCTTTCTAAAATATTAACTTTAAGTTAACAAGAAGACTAGAACCCCAACAAATATGACCAAAGGAAAGAGCAGACAGATTATGGAAGAGAAAACCCAAAAAAGATTACAGACCTTTGGTAAAATTCTCCAACAACCATGACGTATCACATTACTCTGTTGAGAAAAACCAGGTATTGCCAAGTGTTGTGGGAATGGAAGAACTAGTGTACTCCTTGTGACATGTCATCTGGTGCTACCATTGTAAAGAATAGTCCAGTGGGACTTGCTTGCATGCCATGGAACCTAGTAGCTCTGCTTCTGGATATTTACCTCTAGAGAAATTCTCAAACAAGTCCTAAAGTGGACATTAATGATGGTGGGGAATTAGAGGAAATCTGGGTGCCTTCTCCAGGGGACCAAAAAAAAAAAAAAAAGTAAAGAAAGAACAAAGCACAACACAGAATGGTTTGTATAAGAGCTAGGTGCAGCAAACTATGTAGCACGTGGTGTCATGGATGGATCCAGAAAAAACAGTGCCTAAGGCACAAATGAGAATGATTTACATAATGAAAATACTAATACAAAATGTACTTTTCACATAAATTTAAATAAATAAAAGGAAACACATATTTTCATCTCAATCCAAACATAATAATGATAATGCTGGCGAGAAGGTGCACTCATATAGTGTTGTTGGGAGTGCAAACTAGAACAACTCCAGATAGTAGTATGGAGATTCTTCAAAAAACTAGGAATGGAACCATCATGTGACCTATCTATCCCATTCCTTGCTATTTATGCAGGAAAAAAACCTAAATCAACATACTAATCAGCATACTATAGTATATAGGCACATCAATATTTATAATAGTGCAGTTCACAATAGCCAAGTTATGGAATCAACACAGGTGCCCATCAATAAATGAATGAATTAGGAAAATGTGGCATATATACAGTGGAGTTTCACTCAGTCATAAAGAAGAATGAAATTATGGCATACGCTGGTAAATGCGTGGACATGGATAACATCATGCTGAGTAAAATAAACCAGACTCAGAAAATCAAGGGTCAGTGAATTTTTTCTCTCATATGCAGAAATTACAACAAAGTAAGGGGGGGTGGGGAAGTGGGGGGCGGGTATCATAAGCATAAAGGGAAAAGATCATTGGAGTGGAAATAGGGAAAGGGAGGAGAGACAGGAAAGTAGAGAAAATGCAGAATCAACTTGACAAAATTTTGCTGTGTGTATATATAAATATACCACAGTGAATTCCTTCTTTATGTATACCTATAAAGCGCCAATTAAGAATAAATGGATAAATGAATAGAGGGAAGATTAGTAGAGAAGGAGGATAGGGGGAAGGAAAGAGGACGCACTAGAGACTAAAATGGAACATGTATTATTATGTCAAAATGAATCCCAATATTATGTGTAACTATAATGCACTAATAAAAACATTTAAAAAAATAAATAATGAAAGGAAGACTACTTGAGTAAAGGTTGGGGAACAGGAGAAGGGAGGAGAAGAGGGAAAGAGGATGTATTAGGAACTGAAATGGAGCAAATGATATTCTGTGCATGTATGATTACATCAAAATGAACCCCAGTTTTATGTATAACTATAATGTACTATGAAAGATATTCTTACAATAAAGTAGTCAAGTTCATAGAAACATAAAATAGAATGGTGGTTATCAGTATCTTGGAGGAGGGAAGAAGAGGGGCTTACTATTTACGGACATATGATTTCAGATTTGCAAGATAGAAAACTTCTGAAAATCGGCTTCACACCCCTCTGAACTGAACTCTTTATTAAAAATAGTTAAGATGGCAAATTTTATGTTATATACTTTTTAACCACAAACAAGAACAATCAAAAGCAGTCATAAAGCAAATTTATTAGTACATTCCTGTAATCCCAGCAACTCGGGAGTCTGAGGCAGGAAGATTACAGATTAAAGACCAGCCTTGGCAACTTAGCAAGACCTTTTCTCAAAAAGTAAGAAAGGGCTGGGGATGTAGCTCAGTGGTAGAGCACCCCTCAGTTTGATTCCTAGTACCAGGAAAATCAAATTTTTGGTTAAATATAATGTGTTGATTATATTATTTCTGCTTGCTTAACTGATTATCACCATTGGTACCCACATGATGGAACAAAATTTCTAAAAATGTATTTTTTTTTTCTCTTCTAGGCCTCTTTAGCAGAAACTGATAAAATCACTTTGGAGGTTGCAAAGCTTATCAAAGATGACTTCCTACAACAAAATGGATATACACCTTATGACAGGTAGGCTATACAGATTTTTCTTTTCGTTTTTTTTAATTGAGGCATTATAATTATACAAAATAATAGGATTCATTGTGATATATTTGTGAATGCACAGACATAATTTTGTCGATTTTATTGCCCAGTACTTCCCCTTCACCTCCCCTTCTGATTTTTTTTTCCTTATTTGAGGATTTTCTGTTGTGTTTGGGCAAGGAGCTACCTACACATTAAAACCTTTTTTTCCTCACACAGCTAAACGCTGACTCAATATATTGGTTTATTTTGTTTATTCATAGCAGACATCTAATGGTTGAAATCATCACCTTTTCTCAATTTACTCATTTGTGAAATTATGACAGTATTTTCACTCATACAACCATCTATAATTAGACTAAATTATGGCTTAGTGTGCAGAGCCTGGGGATCATTACCTGCTTTAGAAACTATCTTTGCTAATTCCTTTTATTGCCCATGTCTCTTGTACTCTTTGCTTAAATAATTATGTTATTCTTTCCTGCCTTATTTGTCAAGAGTCCTGTATCTTTTTCCTTCCACCAAAGCCTTTGTTGCTGCCAGTCCCAGCCCCTTCACTCCTGCCCAGTGCTTGCTTTTTTTTACTATTCTCTCTGCCACTCCTGTGGCATGTTGAAAGTTCCTATTTATTTTAAACTGTGAGGATTTGAGCCCTTTTCTCCCAGGCTAGCTTTTCTCCCTCAAATCATATTTGGTTCCACATAAGAACCAGAGAACTAAGCAAATAGGATTAATCAGACCATAGAGCAAGCAGAAAATATGCCAGTATGTCAGTAAGCCTTCGAAATCTGTTAAATCGGGAACTTAAGAAGCTCTAGGAACCAAACTGCCTATACAAAGATAACTCAACTAGGGAAAAATCTTTGGAAAAGGTGTGATAGGACTATGCATGAAATTATGTATGCAGATGTCTAGGAATGTGTTAGAAGACTGATAAGGACAAATGTGATTGAATTGATATTTACTCATGTGTACGTACAGTCTCTATTTCTTTGTTACAAAAAGGTATATGAGTAAATGAAAATGAACACATTTAAAGAGAAAGAGGCTACTATTATTAACTCACAGCAATTTGCAATTCCCCCCTTCCTATTATTCATTAAACCTTAACTAATATCACAAAGGAGTCTTTACAACTCAGTTATTTTCCATTTGAGTTACTTACCTACCTACAAATCTTACAAATACTGCAAATCCAGGGAGGGGCATTATATTGTAGCAATATTATTTCATTGTCCCTCCTATTTGATGAATTTACAGACAAAAATAAACATCACCCTTAAAACAAATAAAATAGATATCTCCATATCCATCCATACCAGTACTGAGGTGTCTTTGCCCAAAAATTCTCCTTAAATAATTATTGGTCTTTTGTATTGTTCTTCTTTTCTTATGTATCGTCTAATAAATATAAGCAGTTTGCATACTTAAATAAAGAAGCTGATTCCCTGGTAATTTATAGTTAAAGTTTTATATACTGAAAGTATGAACCCACTTTGGAATTTGTTTTTGTTAATTCTTTTGACCTTTATTTACCCTAGGTTCTGCCCATTCTACAAGACAGTAGGGATGCTGTCCAACATGATTGCATTTTATGATATGGCCCGTAGAGCTGTTGAAACCACTGCCCAGAG